CACTGGTCATAGCAAACACCCTCTTCCAACAACACAAGAGAAGACTCTACACATGGACATCACCAGATGGTCAACACCGAAATCAGACTGATTATATTCTTTGCAGCCAAAGATGGAGAAGCTTCTATACAGTCAGCAAAAACAAGACCGGGAGCTGACTGTGGCTCAGATCATGAACTCCTTATTGCCAAATAGTGTGGATACATATCCCTTATTATGTATATGATTTGCAAATATTTTCTCCCATTCTATAGGTTGTCTTTTCAAAAAAAGAATGAGTATCTCAATTAGTGACATAGAAATGACTTTTTGATCTTAAGGACTTGAGATAATTGGTGTTCAGGAACCCAAGGGTGGTTAATTTCCTTTCTCTGATGCTAAACTGGTTCAGATTGCTGTCATTCTGTAAAATAAGAGTGTGCTGCTTTAAGGCCTCTCTTGCTGTATTTTAAACCACATTTGAGTTGTACACTGACTACAAAAAATGAATGAAAATTAAAGGGCCACTCTTATTCATCAGAGACGTTAATTAGTAACATTTTGAGCAAACTATGAAGCCCATTCATTTAAAGAATTATATAAAATGTGCTTTGGGAGCATTCAGATCTTTTGAAAATTTATCTCATGGGGTGGGGTAAGGGAACAGAAAGATAATGAAGAGAGAAGAGAAAAATTAAAGACAGGAAGGAAGGGGAAGAAGTGAAAATAAGGAGACAAGAATTGACATGGATAAGAGATAAAGGAACTAAAAGAGGATGGAGAGATTGGAAAAATGACGAAATAGAGAAGGGATCAGGAGGATAGGAAAAGGGGGATGAAAAGAGGTCAAGGAAAGAGAGGGAAGGGAAGCAAAGAGAAAGAAGACAGGCAGGCAAAGAAAAATATTAAATAAAGCAATGAAAACAATGCAGACTTCAGAGCCTGGGCAATTTTTCATGAAGTGCCACTTGTAGAGGACAGACTGCAGAGACGCTGGCTCCGAAGGTTGATGATGGCAGTAATCGTGATTCCAATTTGTAACAAATGGTATGGAAGGCAGCGGGACCCCAAATGGAGAGCCCTACACCGAAAGCAGTGAAGCGATAACACAGAGGTAGTGGAGGAATGCAAGGATGCTGAGAGGTTAGTTCTCTAGTTGACAACAATTTTGCGTTTGATGCATAATCCACTGTTGCAATGGGGAAAAAAAAAAAAGCTTATTTATCACAAGATCTTTCATCTGGAACAAGGAAGTTGGATGTTTACAGGAATGCCTTTGAAGTTTTATTCTGTGATGAGCTTTAACTTAGCATTTACTTTCATCCAAGACTTGGTCATTTTCACCTGTTTGCTGCTGTCAGTGGTCAGTGCAACTGACTCATAGTAACTTCTTCCTCTCTCTGGTGTAGCCTAGGCATAACTCATAATTCTTGAGCCTAGTTTTCAAAGCTCCTTTCTCTTTATGCCTGTTTATTTGTGTGTGTCATCTTGATAGATTATATATTACAGTGTATAATATAAGTCCTGCTTGTGTGGGGTAAGCACCTAGTTCCATTGTATCATCTTCCTCATCACCCTAGTCCATCCCAAAGGCTGTCAGAAGAACTGCATTTCAGAGAAGCAATGGAAGGAAACATTTAGGAAGTGCAGGCAGGGAGAGTGGTGAGGAGCCCAAATGGGATAGAGAAAGAGCCTATGGATTCAGAGAGAAAAATGGTGGGAAGTTGCATGCAATATGCATGTTGGATCCTTACAAAAATATTCTGAAAAGGCAACTAGTGCCACAAATTCTCTAGGTAAATTTTTGTTTGGATACCATAGAAGAGGCAGGGTTTTTCATCTGCATGAAGTTGGACAGAAAGAGCATTGAGATGGACAGATTTAAAGAGACTGGCATCATCAGAAATCTTTGGCCACTACAGATTCCTACAAACCATGGAATGGGGACTGTAAGGGAGAAGATTTGAGGAGGAATCAAAGCAATTTCATCTAGTTCCCAAGGGGCACTTGTAGCATATGTAACTATGGTTTACATATGTGTAAGAACGGTATACTTGTTGGGCTGCGTATGCCATTAAATATAAGACCATTTACTACTTTGAAGGATGAATTACTTTCAAATAACTTCTTGACAGCAAGTGTTCTCTCCCTATTCAGATTGGCAGCTCCTTGAGGAAAAATATCTCCTAAGGCTTTCAAATAACCAGCAGTATTTAGCTTAATGCTAAGCACATAGCAAGGCATCCCTAAGACTGTGTGCTTGGCAGGTTGCCCAGTCCACTTCTTGACTCTCACCCTCGCCCTTTGGCGTCCAAGGACAATCACAGCTCTTGAAGATGCTCCACTCAGGAGGGAGCATGATAGGTCTACCTGGATCACAGGGGACCAGAAACAGGGACCTACAGACACCTGTGGTCCAAGCCACGGGTAACATGGTCTTTCAGAAACTACCAAACTTATCATGACTTTTCTCCAATGCCAGGAACAGAGTTCTTTGATGGACCCCCATGTACACACAACTAAACTTATAGATGTTAGAGCTTATTGAAATGATGGCAATATAACTGAAAAGGAAAAAGAAAAGCCCAACTAGGAATTGAATTGAGTAAACTTTTCTTTTGTACTCATCCTTGTTTGATTGTATGAGCGATAGTGTACCAAAGTGAATCAAAGTCCAAATGGATATCGACAATTTTCATATGTAGAAAAGATTGATAAGAAGGGTACATATGCTGGAAGAATATCACAGAACTGCACATTTTCCACTTTCCCCTCTCATTTCTCAATGATCCTTTGAGAATTGTGTGAAAGTAAAGTCAGAAAGAAAGTTCTTACATTCTTAAATCCTCTGTAAAGAATCTGGAGCTCCTTCTTGGTAAACTTGCTCTGGGCTTCCAGAAGCTCGAGAGCCTCGGGCCGATGCCTGACGGTGGCCATTTCCAGTTCATCTTCCACGCTATCTGTGGAGGAAAACCAAAGTCTTAAGAACAGTCACTGCTCACCAATGGGTATTCACAACAAACAGGAAAATGGAATGAAATGCTTACTGGATGTTGTGACACTTCCACAGAAAGGATTCTCACACTGCCAATAAACATCTTTATATTTCCCAGGATATACAGTATTAAGATAATCCTACAGAATAGTTTTTCAAACTTTCTAGTCATTAAACATCACAATATGAACATTTTTACAATATAGATTGAAAAGTGTAAAAACTATGAACAATCTTAAAACCTCAAAACACATTGAGGTTTTTAAGACACATATGTATATATATATACATAGACTTATGTATAGATACATATATATGCGCTCTTGTGACCCCATGAGCTGTAGGATGGGGGTTCCTCTGTCTGTGGGATTTCACTGGAGTGGGTTGTCGTTTCCTTTTCTAGAGGATCGCCCCTTGAACCTGGATCTCCTACATTGCAGGCAGATTTTTTGCTAACTTAGCCACCAGGGAAGCCCTATATATACTAAGTACTAGTGATAAAAATGGGATTTTGTTTAACAGTCAGGACCACACTTGTATCATGCAGCAATGAGGCAGGACTCCACTAATACACTCTGAAGATTCCATTAAAATCAAGCATCTTGCCAGGGGCTACAAATAGGTCAATCAGATTAGGTGCTTAAGTGAGTAAAGGACTCCACTGCGGGTTTGACTGGCACAAACCCAGCCTTCACATGGGATGGACTGGAACCAAGAGGAGCTTCTGCCTATACCCCACTGTGCGGCCAAGGGAATCCATACTTATGGATAAATGCTAAAATATTGTACTTTGCTTTGAGAATTATATATAATTTCCCAAAGATTCTCTACACAAAAAAAGAATTTTATGTCCATGTAAACTTGGGAGATTCTGTAAAGTTTAATGCCATTTCAGAGCAAAACACTGGAGAATTTTCAACAAAGAGTTCTATTTAGCTTCCATTTAACCCATTGACCTCAAAGGGTATTTGTCCACCGAACCCCTTCTCTCCACGAGGAAGCTCTGCTAAAATCTTCATATGGAATTAATGAATAACTGAATCAAGAAACAAATGATGTTGCCACTACAGTTTGCATTCCTCTGGAGCCCTTTGAACCTTAGCTGCCTTCTGGAAAATTATGTCTCAAACTGAGGTTAGTGGACCTCAGTGGATCTTGAATGTCTTGTTTGGAATCACAATGTTCTCTTTGCATTTTTCTGAGAAACATAGCCTGGGAAAAACTAGAGGAAATTTTAATTAGATTTTCTGAGTAGTCTCTCAATCATAGCATAACCTCCTCTGGATCCAATGACCCTTCCATTGGAAAGAAACAAAATAGAACATTAACTTCTCAACCTTTGCAACCACATAGCAAGCTGAACCACACGATCAACCTGGTTTCTCCCTCCAGCTGATGCAGATTTACAGATGCTGAGACTGAGGCAAAAGACCCAGAGGGTCAGTGTAAGTGAGCTAAGTGTGATGATGAGCATCACACGCAGTATTCAAAGCATCACACTTAAAGAATCTGCCTGCGGACTCTCGTTTACTTAGCTGACTGGTACCTCACTTCTTAATGACTCCTAATTGCCAAAGGGCTGTTTTTATTTCTAGAAGGCTGACAAGCTCTAAAAACATACCTGAAATCATCAGCAATCCCCAGCATGATAAGTTACGGCCGCAGCACCACCTAACCTAATCAAGACTCAGATTCCTGGAGGCAAACTCTGCAGAGAGCACAACAGGACTCCAAAAAAGACTGGGAAATTCACAGTGTGACTCAGCCACTGTTTAAAAGCGTGTGCTTTGGTTGTTTTTTTAAAATTCACTGTGCTGTGCTTAGTCGCTCAGTCGTGTCCAACTTTTGTGACCCCATGGACTGTAGCCTGCCAGGCTCCTCTGTCCCTGGGGATTCTCCAGGCAAGAATACTAGAGTGGGTTGCCATGACCTCCTCCAGGGGAACTTCCCAACCCAGGGATCGAACCCAGGTCTCCTGCAATGCAGGCAGATTCTTTACCAGTAGAGAAACCAGGGAAGTCCTTTTAATACAATACTTAGAATTCATTAAGTACCAAGAGATGGGCTAGGCGTTCTGCTGATATAATTCTAATCCTCATGATAACTCCACAATGAGGTAGAATTGTCCATTTTTTACATAGTCGGATACTGAGTCTCATAGAAGTGAAGAAATGTGTGTCCCAGTGTCACATAAAAGAAAAGACAGGGGTTGAATTTATACCCAAGTCTTCGATGCCAAACCTTTTTTTTCCAAACTCTCTCAATACCAAGAGAAATACCATTGATTAAAACTAGCGTTTTTTCTCCTCTCCTTTCCTGCACTGTCAACTGAGAAGTGAACTAAATCCACCAGGTCCATTTCCTTCCTCCTGTTCTCTTTTCGTTGTTGTTCATCCATAGGTTGTGTCTAACTCTGCGACCCCATAGACTGCAGCACGCCAGGCTTCTCTTTTTAATCTACTGCAATCTGACTTTCTGCTCTTGTTATGGGTTAAATTATGACCCCTCCAATATGACTGAATTTGGAAGTATGACCTTTAAGAACATAATTAAAGTTCAAAGATGTCACAAGGGTGGGGCTCTAATGCACTATGAACTGTTTCTTTACAGGAAGAGAGAAAGATAGCAGGGATACACAGGCACAGAGGAAAGACCATGTGAGGACTTGACCAGAAGGCAGCCATCTACAAACCAAGGAGGGAGGCCTCAGGAGAAACCAGCCTGTTGGCACCTTGCTTTTGGACTTCCAGCCTCCAGAATTGTGAGAAGGTAATTTCTGTTGTTTAAACCACTCAGTCCAAGGCATTTTGTTATGGCAGCTGGAGCTAATACCTGCACTTAAGTCACTTGTTCAATTTCAGACTGTCTCTAGCAGGCTAACGTCCAATTTTTTAAACATTCTGATGAGATTATTAATAAGAACCTCCATTCTCCAGAGAGCTTTTGCTCTAAGCCTGGCATATTTTCTGTCATTTGAATACCAACAAAAATCATGTGAGACATAGATCATTGTCTTTATTTTACATGGAATAGAAAGGGACTCACAGAGATTCGAACCTGATGTGAAGAGCTGACTCATTGGAAAAGACCCTGATGCTGGGAAAGGTTGAAGGCAAAACGAGAAAAGGGCAGCCGACGATGAGATGGTGGGGTGGCATCACTGATTCAATGGACGTGAACTGGGGTGAACTCTAGGAGATGGTGAGGGACAGGGGAGGCCTAGCATGCTGCAGTCAAAGAGTTGGACACGACTGAGCGACTGAACGATAGCACTGATTAACTAACTTACTCAAGATCACATAGCTACTTAGTGACAGAGCTGGGATTTGATCTCTGACTTTTTAATGTCAAAAGATCATGAGCTTAGTGACATGTGTTTTAAGAGATAGCACCAGTTATATATCTTAGTTAAAAATCTTGGAGACGAAGTATTTTAAATCAGAAACCAAGCAGCCAGGGAACCCCAGTGCTCTGGGAAAACACGCCTGGGTGGTTGAGGAGATCACTGAGGTGGTGGTTGATGCCTTGCTGATTAGAAACATGTAGAATAAGGTTTGGAAGTGATGGGATCGCAGAGCTGGAAAGAACACAGAATGTTGTTTGCTTTCCTGTATTTTGTTGTTGTTGTTCTGTTGCTAAGTCAAGTTGGACTCTGCCACCCCATGGACTAGCCCACCAAGCTCTGGTGGGCTGTCTTCCACTATCTTCCTCTGTCTTCCACTATCTCCTGGAGTTTGATCAAACTGATGTCTGTCGAGCCAATGATGCTATCCCATATTTTACCACTGAGAAATCTGGGTTCAGATAGGCTGCGTGGTTTATTTGGGCATAAAACCAGAAGCAGGTGGCACTCTGGTCCCCTCAATCATCTCGAGGCTTCTGCCAAGGCGTTACTATGAAGGAGCCTTGCTGTCAGAGTAGCATTGCTTATTCAATGGTGTTTTGCATCCTGACAAATTGAATACAACTAGTGTTTTAACTCATGTGTCTTCTAACAGATCTGTTTTTAATCAGATGACAGATTCCCAAACCCAGATACCCTTGAGTTTCTCTGTCTCTTTTTACTTTTTGTTCCTTAGACTTTAGTCTCTTAGGGCCAAGGATGTCCTATGTCTGAGGCAACTGTCCCCTTAGGCCATCACACAGTTAGGCCAGAAATTGGAATTCAGATCACCCGGAAACAATAGTGAGTGTATTCATTTTTGTGTCCGACTGTTTGTGACCCCATGACTGTAGCCCCCCAGGTTCCTCTGTCCATGGAATTCTCCAGGCAAGAATACTAGAGTGGGTAGCCACTTACTTCTCCAGGGAATCTTGCCTACCCAGGGGTCAAACCCAAGTCCGCATTGCAGGCAGATTCTTTTCCTTCTTAGCCACCAGGGAAGCCCCCAGAAACAATAGCATGAATTTTAAAAATAGGTCTCTTTCTCTTATGTCTCACAGCTTCTCTTAAACTACAGTAGAAGCTTATTACAGCCTGATTCATAATTATACAAATTTGACTCTATCCAAAGTTGAACCATATTCCCAGAAACTAGCTATAGAACATCTTGCTTTACAAACAGATCTGAGTGTGAAGCCTGCCTTCCTCGGACACACATTTATAAACAAAGCTCATAATGCTGAAATAAAACTTTTTTATTAAGAATAATGTCACTTCTTCCAAGAAGTTGGTTCAGAGATGAGCCCTTGGCTTATTGTAGCAGGGTACATTGTGAGACTGTTGGCATGTTCTTCCACCTGAGACCTGCCAGCCTACTGAATAGCCCAACAGCATCTAATTTGGCAGACTAAAAATGCTCCATTTAAAATGATGTGAGATCAATGAATAACTACTTGAAGCATCCTAATCATAGTGGGTCTATCAATAGAAGGTCCATTTCTCAATATAGCATGACCCTTCTCTAAAAACTGTATCCATTTTTATCATGAAAAATCATAAATACTAAAGCTTTAAAATTCTAT